TTTTGAGGGCGGGAAAAAACTCCCCCCCCCCCGCCCGGGGGTTCGAAATTTTCAAAAAAAAAAAAAAAAAAAAAATCATGGAACAATCTGCTTAGTAACCGTTCTGTTTTTTTTTTCTTCTTCAGCTCTGAATGTAACTGATCCAGTACTTTTCATGCCCTCTGGTGTCCACCAGGAGGGTGGAGGGTCAGGGGGGGGATGGTTTGATTACCATGAGATCAATGCTTTTAAATCAACTCGACTGGGATTTTCACTTGTTCTGGCAGCGGCGTAATTGCTCTCTGACCTCTCGGGGTGAAGTCTGCGATTTCCTAACTGCACAGTGCATCTAAAGTCGTTCCCGCTGCCCGTCTCTGTGGGCCGAGCCCATGGACACACAGAGTGTGCATTTCTTCCGTGTCCCCTTGGGGGAAGGACTCTAACGTTACAGTCAGTGTGAAGGGGTGCTACGATTCTTCCAGAGGGCAGAATGATTATTAAATTTCTGCTGGCCCAACCGAAAGCTGTTTTGACAGTTCATCTGTGTACGCCTAATGAAATATTGGCAATAAGATTTATTCCCTTGGTATACAGACTGTACAACAGTTGATGACAATCCATCAAACGACATCTAGAGATTATTTTCTGGAGCAAAAATGATGAACTAATCGACATTCAGCTCAACTCCAGCAATGAGATGGGAATTTTTGTTATTTTTATTTTTGTAGAGTGTGCATACGTTTGGCCCATGTTTAGAGAATTAAAGCAACAGTAGATGAACTTTACTGGTTTTCTTTAGTATTTTGTTTTGGAGATGGCATCGAGAGACAGTTTATTTTGTGTCTGGGGGAAACGTTTCTTTGTCGATTTGCTCACATGGTTTGGATCATTATCCTGCTGAAAGACCCAATGATGACCCATTTTCACCTCATCGTACCAGATTTAAAACCTCCTGGTATTTCAAAGAGCTCAAGGCAACAGATGTGTCTTCCACTGCCTTTTTTTTTTAATTTATTCATTCTTGAAAAAGAAACCTGAAGTTTGAAAGGGTGTTTTTTTCTGCTGCTGAAACTGGTTTCTGTTCAGGCAAATCCAAATATTACTGTTGTGTTATTAACTAGCTGATCCTTCATCATGTTAAACAAAGTTTGACTTGGAAACAAGAGTTTCAGTGGTTGACTACAGCCCTGATATGTAGAAGGAATTAAAAGTTTTGTAAAAATTGTATATAATTCAACATAACATTTTATGACGGAACCGCAAATTTACTTACACAAAGTCAAATAAAGGTTAGAAAATACATTTTTCAGTTGAAAAATTAAATATGTTAATTTTTTTTCCTTTTTACCTGTTTAGCAATAAATTGAACATTCAACAACACACAAGGAAGGAAAAATAACTAATTTTATATCCAATAGAAAGGGTCTCTGATGTTTGTCTTAATAAAAGAAAAGTGTTTTCTATTTAGTTGGTCTAAAGAAACTTTCAGCAAAAATCACTCCTGTATTTAGTCAAGTTTAATAAGCCCAAATATGTATTTTCTGTAAAAAAGTTACGTATTTATGACCCTGCTTGCTTCTTCATTAAGACAATTTACATTTTCCATTGGAAAATCTCATTCTGAAAATCACAAAAAGTGTTCATCATCTCCATTTGCTGCCGGGTTCAAATTTGGATCCACTCAAAACTATTCCAACTTTAGCGCAGTTATTAAAGGATTGTTACGATTATTGTACCTTTATTTGTCCTGTTAGGGCATCTCTGTAAAAACAATTATGCTGAACCACTGACTATATGTACTCAAATTATAACGTGACATTATACAACTGCATAAATTATGGCTTTTTTACACTTATTTTCCAGAATTATGCTCAACATTCACCTCTATTTCCTAGTAAAATATAAAACGTCTTTTCCTCATCCTCTGTTTTAACCGTTTGCTGTAGAGAAGTGGCCGACGGCTCAGCTGCACTTTAAGCAGCTCATGTGTATGTGAATTAGATGTTGACATGAATAGAACAGAATAGACCCTTGAAAAGCATTGTGAGTGCAGGTGCAGGTTACTGAGATAATTTGGACAGAGGCCAGTATAGGAGGAGGCGCAGACGGCCGTCCTATACCTGCTGCCTTCGCTCGAACCTCCAACAATTGGCTATAAATAGCAAAAGAGGAACAAAAACGCGTTATTGCAGAGACTGAGTGAACTGAATATAAGTTGAGCTGATCAGTATTTATGTTGAGGAGGAAATGATACAAACAGATCTGATGAGTGGTCGTGACTGTAATCACCAGACGTTAACGAGTTACGTCGCTTCTCGTTTCAGGGTGGTCCACCGTCGCTCCGCCGATGCTCGCCTTCCTCTACTGCTTTGCTCAGGTTGGACTTGAGCGAACTTCTTCCCCACTGTGAGTCACCTTGATTTTCTGGAAAAGTGAGAATCCCTGCTGCCGGACAACCAGGACAACCCGCGGGCTGCAGAGCTGTGGCAGACCTGGCCGACGGCCACGCCGAGTGTCCAAAACAGAGCCCAAGTTCTGCTGCAGAGCAGAGCTGCACCGCAAAAAAAACCCGCTCGAGTCTGTCTTCATTGTACGGCTTTGATAAGATATTGCTCAGTGGTGCAGTAAATCGGAGAAGTGCAATGTTTACTGCTAAAAGCCGCTGGTCAGTCGGACTGCAGAGGGAAGCAGCAGAAACCTGACCCAGGTTCTGCTCTATACACATTTAATCAGGATGTAGCAGACGTGAAATCTCAGTAGCGTATCTGTTATGTTCCTCTACATTACAGACACGATGGGAACAGAAAACGTCCCCAGACTCACCTGTCAGTACAATTTATTTATATAGATGTCAGCTTGTTTCTGGTAAAAACTGCTTAAAATGTGTAACTATCAATGTGCCAAATGTCTGTCCATAATTTTAATAAAGATTACTATTTAAAAAAAGCTGTTTATACTATTTTATTAATAGTTGCATGTTCAAATGACGAGACAAATTAGAGAGGATTTTTTTTTTGCAGTATAACTTAATGCCGACAAGAAAAAGAATGACGAGTTTCATACACGCCTTACATCTGTCAGTGAACATGATAGTTTTTGCCTGTATTGTTAATAGTAGTTTAATAAGAGACGAGCAGCAAATCTGGCAGATTTTTGAATATTACAGAACCAGAAAACAAACAGGTTTCCTGTATTGGTTCCTATCCAAACCAATACAGCTCGAGGTCCACCAGTGTTTCTTGAACCATAGTTTGAGAATCTTATCAGGGATTTTTAAGTCATGAATTTTAAAAACAGTTTCACTCTTTCCATTAAACCTCAGTTAGGAATCTCCAATAAGAAAACATTGTTCTGATCTTAAAAACACAATCTCTAAGCTGTTCAAACTATTTAGTCAAGATAGTTTCATGTTAGAAAAACATGTTTTTCCAACTTGATTTCCAAGCAATTAATTTCATTCGTGTTTTAAACTGAACTCTTCTGTAAAGTTTCTCCTGTTGAAGCTGGGGCCGTTTCCATTAGCTGATTTCTTTCTGTGGGATTATCACGTCTGTGGCAGTAAGTTGGATCAAAGCGAGCCGAGGGTCAGCCAAGAATCCTCTTAAATGAGCACAAAACTGCGAGGTTTATCTGACATAAGAAGCTCACGCTGAAGAATGCACCTGCTTGGTTACAGCGTCTTAAAGATTAGTGTTTACCGTCAGCAGTGGAGCCGAAAACAGAACGACCCACCTCGCATGGAAGGGGTGAGGCAGAGAGAAAGGATGCAGTATGTATAAAATATTTATTATGAAGAGCACAGTATGTCACATTTCATAACAAAGAGCTCCCATTGTGCTTGAAATAGTACATCTCCCAACACAGGACGTGTTAACATAGAGGCATGTGCATAATACATACACCAAATTCAAACTTTGCTCTTTATATAGAATCCTATCATTGCTTTATAACTTGTGCATATGTTTATATCCGTATCTTCTTTTTTTTTTCTTTTAGGCAGCTTTCTAGAGCTGACCACAAAAATAGATCTTTGTTCAAATCATTTCAGTGGAGCGACGGTAATTTGGATCATGAACGCCGCTTTTCTGTCTGCAGGCTGGACGAGGAGTCGGTGGGGGGAAACATTAATACAAAGGCACCAGTTTGCATGCTTCTCCAAGGTAACGTGAGGGTCGATGAGATGGGTTAGTGCAGTAGTTTAAGCATTTCCGTCACAAGGTGTGTCTAAATGTTAAAGCGCAGAGCTACATATTGCTTTTAAGGATCTGAATTGTCAAATATTTATGGCCTTGAAACAAGAGTGTGGGAGATGGTTCCCCTCCCCCTCCCCCACAAGCCGTTTCCAGGCTTTTGGACTCTAAACGGTGACGCAATCTCGAGTTTTCAGCTAAAAACAGACGCAAATTTTACAATTAAAAAACGACGTGATTTCATTAGAATCTAACAAAAGCAAAATGCGTCGCCAGTGTCCTATTGACATAACATGAAAATACATAGTCAAAGTGATAATATAAGAGAAAGTTTACAAACCATGTCATTCATCTGTGTCAGTGGTGCAACAAAAGTCGAGAGAATAATATCATTCACATTTTTTTTTTTTTCAAAGTACAAGAAAAACATCTGTTGTAAAAAATAAATATGCTCTCAGCTGGATCAGGACAAAAAAAAGAAAAGAAAAAAGAGGGAAAATATCGCCTCCTTAATGTTCATAAAAGTTCATGTTTTCATTTCAAGTTCTAACATTCAAAGATATACAGTTTCAACCCCGTGACTCGGGGTCTTCATCTTAAAGCTGTCATTGTGAGACTTAAAATCCACACGAATAAAAAATCCTCTCATTACAAAAGAATCATCTCATTTACAATCACTTTTACCGCCGTTAAAACCGTTTTACATGCTCGATGAAATCATGTCATTTCAGGCTTGAGAAGATTAGATTTTATTTGATATAAAACAAGCTTCCTTTTGTCGGATGGGAAGGTGAAACACCAGGACACGTTTGAAAGATTTTCGTCCTGGAAGTCAAACGCCGGAGCTCATCGCACCGGCTGGAAGCAGAGGGGAAATAATAGCCTGGCTAAATTTGGGGGCTGTTATTCAGGAGTGGTTGCATAGTAAGATGTTGGTGTCAGGGGTGAGTACAGTGAGTGCTGCTGCAGCATGCAGAGTGAATCCCTAATGTGTGGGAGTCGAGTCTGTGGGACGGCCAAACGCGTTTATCTCAGAAATTAAATGAGCGCTAATCCAAACGAGTCAAAGAGCGAAGGCGGCCGCTGCCACGGAAAGTATTTAAATTATAATAGTAATGATAATCTGACTTTGTTTCAGCTTTTATATTAAAACCAGCAACAAGTAATGCCTACAGCCTGCTGCTTCTGCTAGTAACGTAGTTTAATATACCTCATTTTCTGCAGCAGTAATTAGTCAGATGGATTGAGACACTCCTGTCTCGATCCATCAGCTCCGAGAGTGTTTAGCTGGGTTTCATTTTCTTAAAGCAATTTGAACAGAGTGGGCAGAAAATAAGCCTCTAATGCCGCTGTCCGGGAGGGTGGGGGGACATCCGCCGCCATCAATCAGCCTCACGTTCCGACCCGCCTTCCGAACTCAGCTGTTTCTGATGCACACCTGCTCCGTCAAAACACACGTGAGCAAAGTGCCGCCGAGAAACACAAAGTAGTGCGTGACAGTGAAGTGGTGGGAAGATTAGGATTTGTTTTCACTTTCCCCCCCCCTTTACTCTGACAACCATAAATAAAATCCAATACTTAGAGAAGCTAATCTAGAGGACATCATGTTATGCAGAAGCAGGGTCGGGTTACTAAACTGTATCCCAAGTTTGGCCTTCATGGGTGAATGACAAAGAGAAAGCAACAAGAACTATTTATTGCACATTTCGACCTACATGCGAAGCACTAATGCCAACACTCTGAACACACCATCTCCATGGTGAAACTTGGCAATGGCAGCATCATGCTGTGGGGAAGCCTTTAATGAAAAGATGGATGGAGCTAAATGAGGTGCAATCCCTGAAGGAAAAACTTGTGGAAACCTTAAAAAAAAAAAAAAAAAAAACACTTCAACATCATGAATAGCGTCCTAAAGCCACATCTGTAACAACGTGGTTTTAAGCAATATTCATACGTTAGGATGGCGTAGTCAAAGTCCCGACCTAAATCCAATCCCCATGGGGGAACGGACGGGTGTTCTTCACTTAATCTGATTGATCAGGAAGTTATTTTAGAAGAAATATGAAAAAAAAAAAAGATTTGTCTGGTCGAGACATAATGCAGAGGAAATGTAGGTAGAGGATTCAGTTTGATTTGCTCCATCTCTGGTAAAAAGTAAAAAAAAAAAAAAAAAAATTTTTTCCTTCCGCTTCACATTTTTTTTGCACTGCTTTCTGTTGTCCCATCGCATAAAAAAATAAATACTTTGGAAAAGTTCAAGGGCTATAAATGGGTTTGTTATTATTATCTGTGTGTTATTTATGCATCATTTCTTTACTAGATTTATCACCTGTGCCTCATAATCCTAAACAAAAAGACTGCATATGAAAAACATCCTCTGTAGTTTCCCATGGAATCCATCAGATCCGTCAGGATGTTCAAAAGAAAAGCGTGTGATAAATTCACATGTAATGAGGTTATTAAACGGTTTAGGATATGTCAGAAATGATTTTGCGGCTTTGATCACATTTTGATCTTCTACATAATTCTTATCCTCAAAGTGTCTAAATTCCCCACGTTGCCGACTGATCTCCCTTTGATCATCATCCTTAAACATGATCAGCATCTCTGTCACTCGTTTGTGTGGTTTGAGCGCAAGAATGCGCCTGCGTTTTTTTTTTTGTTTTCCTACCCAGCAACCGAATCGCTTGTAGAAGCAGGAAAAAAAAAAAAAAAACCTGGCACCAAACCAAAACAAGTTCTCCCTTCTGTGAAGACATCCCCGTTTATTTATGCGAGCTTAATATTTAATGAAAATGGATGCAACGGAACCGAAGCATGGCTTTTCCCTTCGCTGTGTCCATTTCAGCTCGCTTTGTAGCTCCTTAAATGGGTGGGGGGGGGGAAAAAACATGCAGGGAACATTAAATATTACAGAGAATTGCTTATTTTAGTCACAGAAAATGACTTTAGCTGTGATTTTAGATTCAGCAAACTGCAAATTGTAAATCAGCTCCTCAAAATGACTGGACTGTGTGATGTATTTCAGTTCAGCCATCAACTATAAAGCCTCTACTTTGGTTTTTAATATGCGCCAAAAAATGGCAGGATTGTTTAAAAATTCAACATATTTGGCAATTAATTTTTAACTTTCATCCATTTGTCAATTTTTAAAAGGTTTTGAGTGAAGCTTGAACTAATTTCTGTTATTTTGTATTTGGTGAATATTTTTTTTCTGACCTGAACATTTTATTTTTGTTCTTGTTTATTTTTACATTTCTAATATTTAAGAACTATAATAGTTCTTCTAATTTCTTGTAATTATGGAATGCAGTAAAATATGTAAAATATATGTGTACCATCATATTGAACATATTAGAATATGTGTTTTTCTGATGAGGGTCATTTTTCAGAATAAAAGAATTGGCTTTTAAAAATAGGTGTTAAACATTAAGCATTAAGCCCACATTTATGTATTTAAAACGTCATTTTATTGCTCTCGTAATATTTTTTTCTTAATTTTTTTTTCATCATTAGGCAGAAAATTGTCATAATTAGCAGAAATAAAGGCTTCAAATCATCAGTCTGTGTGTCAGTTATTGAAGTAATATGTTTCACTTAGTGAACTGAGTTATTGAAATCAATAACTTTTCAATAATAATGTTGCCCAAAAATATAGTGACAATTATAGGCTCAAAGTAAAATAAAAAAAAATGATTTTGTAGTGCAATCTGCAGACTTCTCACAGTCAACTACATGTCAGATATGTACATGAGGGTTTTTTTAATATTAAATATAAACGTATAAGTAAATGTAAATTAAACATGCAGCATCAGTGGCAGATGTGTTCTTGATGTTTTTGTTGCATCTCATGTTACATTTTAAAATATTCATTTGAAACCAAATCGAAACATTAACTGTATGAAGCAAAACAACTTTTTTCTTTATTTATTTCCTGTTTTCCAGGTTTGGGTCTTTTAGGATTACTAAAATAATATTTTAATGCCTTTTAGCTATTTGAGAAAGCCAGATGATGAAATCATGACTTTGTGAGCTTCTGATGGGTTAATGTACAAAAACTGAGTTAAACAAATAAATGTATACTTTAAAGCAACACACCATTTATGAGAATTATAAACATTTTTCTGTAAAATAATCCTTTTTTGTTCCAGCAAGAGAATCTGATCTCAGCTTACTTTATAAGTGGTTACATCCAACAAAAACTGTGAGATATAAGTATTGATTTTAGGACTAGATAGTATTGATTTTAAACAGTGACAAAGTCACTGTTTAAAAAAAAGGATTTTAAAAAATATAAAAATAAGAATCATGCAAAAGTAGTTGAGTTGGAAACGAAATGCATCATGCACTGCAGCAGGGAGTTGAATCTGTGACGTTTTGTCATGGCAGGTTACTATTATCAGGTGCAGATTACCCAGTGGTTTTATGCGACATTATGTCAGCCTATTCTTTGATAAATACACATTAGCGCACATATTATTTCAGAAACATCGTCCCAGTGGGCATTCCTTTTCTAGGCTCATGAGATTTCCAGAAGAAGGTAAGGTGCGGAGCCACAACAAATGCTGCAGTTTGCATTATCAGATTACCCAACACATCCCCAGAGGTAAAAAACGCATAACTTTCACACAACAGTGCATCATGTATATGGCTGCAGTGCTCCCAGATGAGATTAGCGAATGCTAGACTTCAGCAAAGATGGATAACTTCCTCTCTGCAGGCTCACTGGTTAGCATTTAAATTCATTTTCTATCTAGCACATCCATTAGTGCTTTATGCAAATTATGTTGTAAGTTCTGCTCAAGAATGTTTTTTCTTTTTTTTTGGAAATCGGATTGCCCCGGCCAGAGTTATCTGTTGTATAATTCATAATGATCCCGGCAGATTTTAATAAGAGATGTGTCTGAGGAAATTACTGCGAGATTGTTCTAACATCTGGATGGAGTCGGCTCTTTCTGACTGAAATAATGCAAATGACTCGCTGTGCAGCCTCAATTAATCAAATATGGCCCCCATCTGCAGTAACAGGGTACACATCTATTTTATATGACATGCAAAGAGTTTCATACGAATGATTCAATCACAAACCAGCGGGTCATGCTGCCTCCATTGGGGCTTCCCAACACTTACGACTCTGCAGTAAGTTCTGAGATAAAATCAAACTAAGCACGGTAGATTTTTTTTTTTTTTCCAACATGGCACAGTGGAAAAATAAATTATGTACAAACATTTTTCTGTCATTTGTTACATAACCTTCAAGCGTTGAGTGCTACGAACACCGTAACCGTTGACGGTCCCGCGTTAACCAGCGGGCACACCTCGTGTTAAGGTGGGTGGGTCTCTCGGACCACGCCTCATGCAGATGGTGTGCCGTGCGCCGCCTCAGCTATCCAAGCAATCTCAACATTACTGGATTCCAGCTGAGCTCACGGATTGCCGTTACCTGACCGAGCGCTTCTGTTCCTCATGAAAAAATGTCCTCCTTGTCCAGTTCTGGCGAAGTGGGCCTTGAAATGTCAAAAAGCGGCTGCTCTGAGCCGGTACTGGATTTCCTGGCTCTGAGGAGTTTGAGCACTTCGGCGAGCTGCGCCTCCAGGCCGGACATTCGCACGCTCAGGTTCTTGATGTCCTCCTTCAGCTCCATCTTGAGCTCCTGAAGCGAGGCCTGGAGAGTCTGCTCTGGGATGGGGTAGAAGGCATGCCTGGTTTCTGGAGGCTGGGCGGGACTGCGGTCCTGAGGAGTCATGCGGAACTCGCCCACTTTGTCCAGACGTAGGTCACTTTTGGTGATCCCGCTGTCGCATGAGTCCGTCTTCTTGAGGGTGGTGTGTGGCTCGTGCTCGGTGGTCCGCTCGGGTAAAGTCTCCATGGACTCGGCTTTGGCCACCTTGTTCCAGTTGTCGGCTTTGGCCATGGACTCCTTGAAGCGGCCCCAGCCTTTGACTTTGACCGGCTCTGCGGGTCGGCACGCCGCCAGAGCAACTGCTGAAGGCACCTGCAGCTTCGCCTTGTCTGTGGGGGGGCAGCTGGTTGGCGTTGAAGGTGAAGGGGCCGAGGAGGACGGTGTTGCTGGGCTTTCTGTCACCGTGACGATGCTGGTGGTCGTAACAGGAGCTTTGACCATCGACACGTCCACGTAGACCGGACCCTTCTCGACGTCCTGTTCGTTGAGCTCCTGTTTCTGGGTTGCCATGCGGGCTTCCTTCTGCTGCCGGAAGCGCTGGAAGAGTTTCCGTACGGGGTGATCCGGAGGCAGGTTCAGAGGCGCTTCGTTTTTGCGACGCTGCCGCTCCTCCTCCTCCCGTTTCACATCGCTGATCTTTCGGAAGACAATCTGCAACAGAAGTTACAGAGCTCACGTCAACCAGAGTGTTGGGCATCATGTACATCTGATTGATAAAGGTTTTGACCAGACGCAAGAAATTCTGTTCTTTAATGGGGATTTTTCTTCTTCTTTGTTTTTTCCCGGTAAAATTTCCACACTTGGACCATATAGACACTCTTTTATTAGGCCTTGTGCTAGCCATAAACCAAAAATTAACGTCATTCTACCCACGTCGATATTTTCTGTGAAATATCGAAAGACAAAGTCCTTTTTTTTAGGAAGTGTATCGGTAGGCTTACGCAGGCTGCATTAAGTGTACAGTCTATGACTCCACCCCATCTGGTCCGTAGCAATAAGTGAAAGAAACGGAGAGGTTGAACAAAATGGAGGAAATTTCAAATGTTGAAGCAGCAACAGTAAAGATGGTTGAGGAGGAAGAGGAGCAGCTCATTCAATCATTTGGCAACATTTTGAATTCAGTAAAACGTCAAAAGTGAAATTATTTTATACTTCTAAACTTCTACATCTGTTCTTATTTGTCCGATGCCTCTTAACAAAAAGTACACACTTTCTTTCTTCATTTCTTTGCAGACGTAGTTTTTAAGTTCATTAATGTGGCAAAAGTTAGAGACGGTTGGGATTTTTTTTTTCTTACATTCACATTTTACATTTAGTTGTTTAATTGGGATTTTATGTGATTGAGAAAACTACTGAATGAATGAGAACCGACAGCAAATGAACACAGGGTTTTCAAAAAGTTACAAATAAAACTCCAAACTGTGTTTTGCTTTTGCATTCAGCCCTCCTGAGTCATTATTTTTGGAGAACCACTTCTCCCTCCAATTACAGCTCTGTGTCTTTTCTGTTGAGTCTACACCAGCTGTGCGCATCTACAGAAGGTTTTGCCCACTGTTTTCAAATTGGCTCAAGCTCAGTCAGGTTCGATGGGGAGCATCTGTTAACACACAATTGTTAAGAGTTGCCACAGATTCTTCAGTAGTGCTTAAGTCTGACCTTTCACTATGCATTTCGAACACCTAAAGAGCCAAACCAGACTCTTGTCGCTCTGGGTGTGAATTTAACTTCCTTGTCCTGCAGAAAATTTATTCTTTTTCTCAGTCTCCAGAGTTTATCAGTAGCTGACAGGTTTTTCTTCTACAATTGCCGTTTTTATGATGCTGTTTCTTCACTAATGTTCTCTAACCTTCAAAGAACAGCTGGATTTACAACAAGCCAGTTGGTTTCCCTGCTTTTTATTTAGGAGTATCAGAGTAAACAGGCTTCATACAAATGCATGGAACACTTTTCGGCTTTGTAGTTTTATGGATTTTCTTCCTGTTTTGCATGAAATCCAAATAAAAGACAGTAAAATTTTCTTGCGACGTAACAAAGCGAGAAAAATCTATATAAGTATTGTGTATTCTTCACACGGCTCTGTCTTAGAGCTCTGTCTTAAAACCATGTTTCTTCAAGGGGAGCGGGAACAAAAACAAGACATCGGTTTGAAGGCCTGTGCTGACTGTAGAGATTTGTCAGGGAAACTGTCAACATTTCAAAGTGTGTGCATGTTGTAAATGTCACTCCTAAAGAAAACATTTCCCATAAGAGACACAGAAAGTTCACATCACGCCTTTGGCAAAGATACACAGTGAGCGTACCACCAGGCGGCTGGCTGCGGCTACATCTTTCAAGACACTTAATCTTGCACACTTTTGAATAAAAACTTCATAAAAACTAGTTCTAATAGAATAAGGAGATGAGAAACGTACCTACCGAATTGCATCATCATTACAAACTTCAATGCAGCCTCTGTTCATTCAACATCACAACTTTACCTACTGCGTCACGCAGTACCTATTATGCTGAATGATATAGCGAGTCCTAATGTAGCAAACTACATCAAAACAGCTGCTGCATGTGAGGAAAAGCAGAAGCAGCTCTACCCGAGAAAAGGCGGCACACAGAAGAAGGCTGGGTGATGTGACGTGTGGCTGAAAGCTTCAAAAATGATGCAGCTAGCCAAAATTAGCAGAATACCACATTGATGTTGGTGAAGCTGGAGCCAACAACCTGTCCACTGGCACTACTGCCAGCTTCCAGGAATGAAAATAAGGAGAGCATGCTGCGGGGATTTGTCTATCGCTTAAGACTCAAAAGACTTAACAAGAAATTAAATGTTCTTCCAGTCAGATTTGAGCACTTTGAGTTTGTCAACAAAAGATTAAGATCACTAACAAGATAAAAAAAAAAAAACATGTTTCTGTGGTTCATTATCTCCACTTCAGTCTCCTGTACATTACATAATGATCAAGAAAACTAAAGCAATAAAAATCCAGCATGCTGGCTGTTGGCATTTTATTTAACTCTGCTCTATCTGTATGACATTTTTAACGCCTCCAATTACTGAAAGCTTTCAAAGGTTAATCAGAAACAGCTAAAATTAGTGGCCATCAGCTAAGCTTTTCACTTATTTGAAAAAACATGAAGGCTGAAATATGTTTTCTAGGGAGAAACAACTTTTAAGTTGCAAATATGACAGTTTTTCATTAGTATCCTTAGCATGACACTAGTATAGTTCCCATGCTACTTTAATTAAACTTGCCAATCAGAAAATTTAAACTCACCAAGCCACTAAAAAACAGGCAACACTTCAACTCATTCATATAAAATCCACAAAGCAGTGAACGCATAATGATGTTTTTCCTGGATTTTGTGCAAAACTAAGCTATGACCAATATCTGCTGACTGGAATATTAGTCAGAGTATCATTAATCTTCTTAGCATAAACAAAGAACATTTCACAGCAGATTTTTGATCTTTTGTACAAAGTGGAAAACAGAATCAAAACATATTTAGCAAACCTCTTTTTTACAGACAGCAGAGGTTCTACCACCGTTTAAGACAAGAGTGGCTCAGTAAATGGTCAAAGTGCAACCAGGATAATAGAAACTAAACAGAATTACAAAAACATTTAAAGGAAGGGAACCAAACTCTGGTTGTCCATTTGTTTGAAGGGTGCAGCTTTAGATGTGATGCCTTATACTTTCCTTGCTATACCTCCATAATGACACACTGTGCTGTGTGCTCACACCTGAATTCAGTATCTTCAGTGTTGTGTACCATTCCATTGGTACTAGTTTTGCAATTTGAGAGTCACGATTGAAGAGCTTATGTTGGCTTTTCTTCTTCTTTATACCTCTGCTTATCATCAAACACAGCGCAAGAAAAATTAATCCCAGTTTCCTCACTCAATCCTTGTTTTTTTTTTATAGCATTTTTAACAACATTTGTTTCTCCTGAAAAATACGACAGTCCTATCTCTTTGTTCTGAAAGTCGAGCTGTTCTTATAACTGGTACCTGGACTGCATGTAATTTTCTGGTCTTTTATCTTGTACGCTTAAAGGAGTCAAGTCTCAGCGCTATAGGAACAGAGTATTAAACTAAATCCCTCAATCCATCTCTCCGTCCACAGTTTTCCCCTGCAGTGTACATTTAGGAAACACACTGATGAACAGTGACTCTGATCCAGCAGATGAGATTACTTTTTTATATGCAGGCAATTCAATCTTGCACTAACACTCTCCTGGACAGGCTAACCGTGGGAATGAGGTAATGATCGGTAGCGACGCTTGACCTGTTGATCACAGCCGTTTATATCTGAGTTAAGGATTTAAGAGCAGCTTTAATAAATTGTAGCTGAGTGCTACACCTAGGTTTTATAAAATGCATGTTCTCTAATAAGATTAGACAGTTTGCATGGACACTAGCTTAAGCGTCTGACAGAGCTAGCTTAGTGGTTATATTTGCGGATTTTCTAAGTGGAAATCAAATAAACTATTATTTATAGAAAGAAGAATTTGTCTTTTAATTAGACAGATCCAGCTGGTAAAGTGGTTGACTTTTTCGTTTAAAACTAACTAACAAGCTCAAACAGCTTCAGTGAGAACAAGTGTCTTCACAAATCGAAGATTGTAAGTGCACGAGTAGAAGGAGACAAACGGACTTCCTCTTATCTTCCTTGAAAACATTTTAGCTCCATTTTAAATGACTTCCTGGGTCCTGAATGGGAACTGAAGAAACCATTTAGATGAGTGGTGAAAAGTCTTTACGGAAAAAGAGAAGTTCAATTGCCCTCAAATGAAGTCATCAGGACTCTCATGCCCTGGATGTCTGAGGATCTACACCAACACAAGGTTATTCAATCAATTTCTGACAGTATTTCCACAGTAGTGAAGCTTTAAAAAAGCAATAGAAAATCACGTATCCTCCTGGATACTTAAAATAAAACTAATAATTATGCCAAAAGCTATTGAAGTGCATATCTCTGGGAAACATTTAGGTACTAAACATTCCCACCCTTTCTGAAAAACTGCTTTGGCTTGAAATTTAGTGCAGCAGCGATGAATAATTTGCTGTGTGAACACAGAGCAGTGGATTCATCATTTCACCAAAGCCAGCAGCTACTTTATCTCTTTGTGCCCTGTAGTCCTTTTCTTATGATCTGTTTGTTCTGACAGCCTAAATACCCTGTACGCTTTTAAGTCGCTGCTGAGAAAAGAATAGTGCTAGTCGAACCTCCAGTGAATATGCTGTGTTAGGTGGAAACATTTTCCACTCACAAAGGATTAGGATCAGAATCCATATTGATTTTATTCTGTTTTCAGTCGGGGGATGAGCTTATTATGAAGAACTCACTTTGGTTGTTCGGATGTGGCAACAATGGTTGATTCTCTAAAGGTCTACAGACAAAATGAACAGGGTGTGGTCAGCAGAAGCCCTGCTAGCTGCACAACTATTTACATGTTCAGATAATTACACGTTGGGTTAACTGGGTATAAAATCCAGGGACCAACTCAGGGAGCAGTCTAACCTGCCGTACCATTTCTCGCTGTTTCTGTGTGTGTGTGTGTGTGTGTGTGTGTGTGTGTGTGTGTGTGTGTGTGTGTGTGTGTGTGTAGGTGTCTCTTCTCATGAACTGCTAGCGATGCTCTCACATGTCTCCCCTCCTATCCTCCACTTGAGCAGAGCTGCCACTTTAGGCGCTCCTCTGAGTATCTTTTCCCCCCACAGCAGATGCAAAGATGTGACTGTGGAGCAGCATTTCTTATTTTTATTTATTTTTTCCTGTCACACACGCAGGGATAGATGAAGAAAATAACAAAGCTGGATGTGCTGAAACAAGGTCCTTTGTTGTGGGACCTCCTTTTAGCAAATTAAGTGCTGTGTTTTTATCTCCTGCACAGAAACACGACATCTACAACCACGCAGGTGCTGAGTGACAAGGGGCTGGCTGCCTCCTCAGAGCGGCTGCCAGGCTTCCTGGCAGGAAGCGGACGGATCGAGTCTCAAACAGGTGCATCTCAATAAATTAGAATTTCATCACAAACTTCTGTTTTTGTTGTTTTTTTTCTCTTTTTTTTATTTTAATTAAAAAAAGGAAAGATGTTAGTTCATTACACATAGATTGAAAACTAAAATGGTTGATGATTATGGCTTACAAATGATAAAAACTTAACACATCACTTTCTTAGATAATTAGATTATCACATAAAACCAACGGAAAAGGTTTTGTTTTATAATGACTTTTGAAAGAATGTCCATAATGCTCTCAATAATTTACCTTTAAGTAGCGAATCAACACAACGTAGCATTGAGGCGATCAGCCTGTTGAGATTGCTCATCTGCATTGCTGGCTCTGGTGCCTCTTATCTTAATATCCTGTCATGATTTCTGTGTTCCTGCCATGTTTCATGCTGCTCCTTTGCTCTGACCCTCCTGCTACCGTTGGCTGCTGATCGCTCCCACCTGTGCTGCTGCCGATGTAAACTCCTGCTCTGCACTCAGCGCGAGAACATCTGTCGTCATCCTTGTCACAGCCTTCCAGCTGTCCACGTCCACGTCCCTGACCTTCGTCTGCCTCCTGACCAACACCTTCGATTCTGGCCTTCGAATGCTTCTCAACTGTATTGTGAGCAACTCGAACCCTTCATTTATGTACCTGGACTGAGTGCTGCTTCATGGATTCTGTTTCTAATCTACCTGCTTTGTTAATGACTTTGATCGTTTCCCTGACTGCTGAGTATCGGATTGTGGATTAGTACCACCGATTCTTCCATGGTTTGTCCTGAGAAAAGGATCCTGACAACAAGTTTCCCAAAGTTTCTGAATTTCCAGCTTATACAGTTAACTCTTTTGCAGTATGAGATTCCGCGGGTGAAACAATCCCCGGTTTTTCTCTGCAGCTACTTCTCCAAGGAAACAAACTGGCTGTGGTTTGATTCTCCTTGAAGGAGTTCCTGGTGGGTAATCAACTACTTCCTGTCTATTTGTCATTCACCATCCTGTTTGCTCTACAGAGTCTGACCAGACACAGACCTAAAAGAGAAGTTGAAGATCACATTTATCTAATTATAAATACAGATTTTTAAACCGTTCTGGGGTTGTAGCCTGACTTTAGGGTCACAGTTTTACTTGATTTATTACATAAGTGGCCTTTTGTGGTTTTGCTTTCATGCTACATTTTAAAATTCTTATAAGTAAACCCACAGCTTCAGAAATTATGTTCTTCAAAATCATGGATTTATGTTGGGAAAAGGCTGAAATACTTCTATCTTTACAGAACTGGGTTTCTGTCATTCCTATATGTAAAAGTGTCCAATGTATATCACTTTAGTTGAAATGGGATTTTTAAATCCTTTATATGAATGAATTTTATTTCTCCAAAATACACTGAAGTAAATCAGATATATATAAAAAAAAGACATTTCTGTATTAAAAGTGTGCTGGCATATCAACACTGACACGTGTTTGGTTGTATATTTTTCTGACCATGTCAGGATGTCTTATACAACCAACAATATTCTCTAATTTTAGATTTTAAATGTGATGACAATCATCTTCAAGGTTTACTCTGTTACTCCTGCTTGTTCCTTCTTGTTTATTATCAATATACTGCAATTTCAGAAGGACCTGCTTCTTATGTGGGACAATAAATGATGATGATGGTTATCCAGCGCTGTTTCATCACACTGCACTCAATAAGCAGCTCTGCCCTCTGCACACTCTGATCCGGAGTCATCTGCCTATTTTTCAGTATTTTTCTGTTTAAGGCATTCTTCTTGTTGTGTCTGCATGGTGTTTTCACCTTTTCCCCCTTTATTACCAAACACCATTTGTCTTTTTTCCCCAACCTGCTCCCTCCCATGTGACTGCTTGTGTTTCTACAACATTCATCTGACCTTTGTTGTACTCACGGTCCCCGTGAGAGCAGGGATAACCATTAAAACTGTCAGCCCATATGAGGAGTGATGCCAACTGCGCTCTGACGGCTTGTATTAGGGAGTCACTCTCTAATTTATAGCTGTAGTTGTTTGCATGTTCATAAGTGAACCTAAGGTGACTGGACACACGAAAAGATTTGGCTCTCTGGAAAAGTCATCACTAATTAATTTACAGAATGTAATCCATCATTCGGACCTGCAGTCAATTTGCTAGAACAGATTTAACCTCATCTTTTGATATGATTAAAACTGAATTAGAGATTAAAATGTTTTATAAAAACAGTTACTTGTCTTGATCATTTTGAAACCTCCAGTTTGTTGAGAACTCTGCTGAGTCAACCCGTAGGGTAATGAAAACACGCCCCTAGGAAAGATGTCTGAAAAACCTTGAGATAATCTGTTGCTATGGCAACCTGAACTCCTAAGATGCTGCAGTTTTCCAGCAGTTCCTCACCATCTGGTGCCAAGATGAGTTTGACCCCTTGTCCAGTTTTATTTATCACAGTTTCAATTGTTTTAAAGTTTTTTAAATATAACTCTGTCTGTAGAGAAGCAAGTTCAGACCAGTAGATCACTGTCAATTTATTATCTCTCAATTTATTTTACAAGAATTTATATGGGCATCACTAATTGATCTACTGGGGCTTTTATTTAAAACAGCTATTTATTATATGTCTTTCGCCAATTGAATAAATATACTCAAGTCAACAGTTGAATAACAAAAATAAAAAAGTAAATCCTAGTTTGATGTGTAGTAATATTTGGGAATATTGTGTTAAAATCACTGTTGTGATTAAAAAAACGGAGTTAATGACGATTCAGCTACAAGACAGTATTTACATCTCAACAAGGTTTTATTTTAAAAAGTTGCTTCTGGGCGGTCTCTGCATACATGGCATTAAAACAACTTAGTTGAAGCTGCTTAATGGCTTGACCACTTGCTTGGCTTGTAAAACTTTTGGCACTGGATAGATTACATGGACAGAGAGCCTCAATGTATGGAGCTTACATAGTGAAATAGTACTTGTCGTAGTCCAGACAGTTCTTCACAGTATGCATAAAGCATACCGTGATATTACAATATTACAACAAATTTGTGAGACTATGGAGCTGTACTTCTCTCTTCCCCTTTACTCTCTGGGAGATTTACATTTTAAATTATTTTTCTTTGATCTTTCAAGCAAGAGGTCAGATCCCAGCAGGAATTGCATAATAAAACAAAGTCAAAAATTATTTATGCCCTTTAAAATGTTTAGAAGAAAAATATAATTTGGGGTTTTCAGCAATAAATCATATCCTTCCTTTATTAAATGAGAAGCTTTTTGGATGTTTCTATTGGTAATTTGAGAAGTTATTTCTGACAATGAGCTCCAAGTCTTTGAGGAAAGCCTCTGAGCCATCACCCTAATGTTTAGTTCCCTTCACAGATTCTCCACCAAATTCAAGTCAATACTCTGGCCACTCCAAAATGTTATCATTACTTCCAATTAGAAGAAAAAAATGTCAGAGGGATGAATAATTTTAGAATTGATCAAGTTTAGCTGGTGCACAAAGACGCAAAATGGTTGTTTGAAAAAGCTTTTTGTATAATTTTGCATTTTTAGAGTCCATACAGCTTGCTTTTGGAAATCAGCTGGACCTGAATAATCCAAATAAAGCAACGGATGAGTGTTTTGCTCGTGTTGGCGTCTGCAGGGTCACTCACCCTCTTTCTCAGGTTGTAAGTGAGCAGCAGGTTCCTGGAGAAGTGGTTGGCGAACGCCGTGTAGAACTCCAGGACCTTCTGCAGGGCGTCACGCTTAATGACGTGCAGGTCGCAGTAGGTCAGCGCTCTGACGTTGGCGCAGGCCTGAGCCAGAGTCACCTCCTTCCAGAAAACGTCGCCAAATACATCTCCTTTACCTGCAGAGAGGGGACACATTTTAAACAGTAAAGTTACATTGAAACGTGGTTTAGCAAAGACAAAAGCATGTCTGATGGATATAAAAAAGGATGAATTACAGTATGAACATATTTAAGGAATGTTTTAGAAGTTGGATATGCAGTTTATCTTTCATGAGAACAAATTTAGGTTGAAGCGTCGCCCTCTGATTTCAGGTTTATGCTTTAAAAAATCCTATCCATTTGCTTTTTGTTGGTCTGTTTTAACTTGTGGTGTGTCTTGTTACATTTTGAAAGTGAATAACTCAAACGTTATCCTCTTTTTCCTAAAAAGTAATTTATTAACCTTACTGAATCTGCTGATTTTTTTTCTGGAGTTAACTGGTTTAAAAAGTTAAATTTCTCAAGTATATTTTCTGTCCTGGCTACAAGTTAAATACCAGAAATGTCAGCAAATGACGTATCCATTTAGGAGTTTCAGAGTAAATGAGGCTGAATGCGCAGCTTTATCACTGAATTACATTTCATCTATCATATTTTTGCTTATATACAGTCAGACTTGATTCCTATTTTATCTATTCCTATTTTTAAGGTTACAACTTTACTGCATGTTGAAGGACGTCTAAACACATTTTTAGTCAACGCATGAAAGCGGCTCTTTAAAGACGGTTTATGAGCAGCTTACCTTTTTTTTTTCATAGATCAACACATCATTTCCAATAAATTGTACCTGCTGCACCAACATGACATTTACTGTAGACAACAATATGGCAAACGATTTGTTTGTTTTTTCAGATTCATATAATCTGTGTAAACATGCGCTGCTCAAATGGCTGCATTCACTCAAACACTTAACTCAATACATGACTGAGCCTTAATAAAACAGATTTCTCTTTTGTTTTAATTTATAAAAACATGACTTTTATAAAATGAAATCTTAAAAGAACTAGAAAGTCTCAGGCTTCATATTATTTTAAAATAAAGCAAGTTGTGGATTGCTCTGATAACAGGCCTTCAGCTGCTCAATAATGAGATCAAGTAAGTTATTTATTAATGCTGGAAATGACTATGAATTATAGATTAGTCTCTTTTATAAAGGTTGATTTAATAGAGAAGTTAAATGAATATGTGCTCACTCTGCTGCCAGTTGTGACTCATGCTCAGAACTATTATGAGTTAAAAGGCTCAACATGACCATATGGGGAGTGAAAAACAAGAGGCATCATTTCAGCATGATTCAACATTATGTTTTGACCAGGAAAAAGATATATTGGCTCCTCGTGACTAATCCTCTCTGATACCAGGAATATCCTCTGATATTTGTTTACAAATGTCAGCATGAAGAGCTACACCGTATATTGTTTTTGAGAATAACTCTGGTTGGTTAACGAGGAACGCTTACCCATGTGAATGAAGGTCCACATTTTTAATCCTCTTCATTTGTTAATGTTGAGCAGCCACTGATTTAGACGCCTCAAGATCCTTATTTCACAGATAATATCAAACCAGCTACAAATTGGCAAAGCCGTCTAGGAAAATCAATACAAACTGGACCCAGCCATGCGTCCAGGACATGTCACTGTCAGGAGTGTGTGACACCGGTATCGATCCTAACCGTATAAGGAGTTCTTGATTGTGGCGTTCAGCTCAAAATGAGTGAAAAAATCCTACAGCAATGTCTCTGAGGAAGAAGTATTCCTCATCTTTGTCTTCAGAAACCCAATCTGTCGACAGTTTCCAAAGAAAACTTTGCAGTAATGGCATAACTATATTAAATTGTACGGAATTGAAGCCATTAGCATCTTTCTCTGCTCCTTTGCCTCTACACTTCATGCATTCATTGGGATAAATCTTTGTAAAAAGTGCCTATGGATCCAGAATAAGTAATGAGACTGACTGTTGTTGAGACTGAAAATGTCAGATTGGTCACAAAGTGCAGCAGAGAGGATTGTGTATCAGACTGGAGCAAACAAATTCTAGTCCAAATCCTGAATCATCACTCAGCAGAAAGTGATCCTGGAGCAGCTCAGTTTTCGCTGCAGTCTGTGACAGTTTACAAAGTGCTGCTGCACAAAACCAGAAAAGCAAGATTAGGAACGTTGCTACAAAAATGTTTTCTTGTAATCATGAAAAACTGTAGAAGACAATTGTTTTGCATCATTGCTGACAGGTTTTTTAAGCTAATGAGCTTCTAAGATAAATAATACAAACACTATCTTCATCAAAGCCTTAGAAAGAAACAATTTAATGAGATTGAGTTAAATCAAAGCATATGCACCACTTTGTAAAATGATCTCTTTTTAGATGTCAAGAAAAAATAAATTATTTCACTTGGCATAATGTACTCCATTGCACATGTAAGCTAGTAAGTAGTTATGAAAGCATCACTAGATGTCCCTAATTTGTTTTAAGAAAACTTGGATTATGACTTAACATTAAGCAAAACTTGGCTATAGTCCAATTTAAAGTAAAAAAAATATGTTGTATTAGCTAATTATGATTAGCAACACATGTTAATGAGTTTTTCTGGATTTTGCCCTTTCAAACACTAAATTTATGTTTACTAAAATAACTTGCGATTCACTTTAGTTGCAACCCATCAGAAAAGCAATCAATATATTCCTTTTTTAGGTATAGGAAGGTAGCCATGTTGGGTATTGTGGTCATGGCTGGCCAGAAACGTCAGATTTTGTCAGTTTCAATTCAATTCATTGGCTTTAAATTAACCATTTTACCAAGTTACACAATTTGAAGTCGAAGATTTTAATTTTCATTTTAACTTGGCACATACGAGCTCCAAGTCCATTGAAAGTACCGTTTTGAGAGCAAACAATTAAAGTTGGTTATGTAATTTTCATCAAACCTGTTTTCTTTCTTTCTTCACAGTCAAGAGTTCTTTGAAGGCTCACCTAAAATAGCCACCACCTCATCATCCTGAATGACTTCCAAGGAACCAGACACCACAAAACACAGGCTGTCCACACTTTCGCCAGCGTGGTAGATCAAGTCACCAGGAGCGCAGTGGATCGTCTGAAACTCCATAGCCAGAGCCCTGAGGCACCCGTCGCTGGCCAGTCGGAAAGCTGGATGCTCTTTGAAAACTTTGCGGTTCAGGTGAACACAAATGTCTGCTCTCATGTCCTTTGGACAAATCTGCAACACCTAGAACCGAAGAAAAGGGGAGAAAGGCAGTTGGAAGTTAAAGAGGATACACATCTCTGTCAATTACTCTTTCTTGTCATTCCAAATTCATTTGTACTTTGCCTCCAAGGAGGAATATCGCTTAAATGTTAAAGATTAAAAATAACTGAGTTAATCTTAATATTACATTAGTGTTGCAAATGGAAAATCAGTTGCCGTTATTGATGCTGCAGGGCAACAAGTGTTAATATCTGTAAACTCAAAACTAATTAAAGGCCACTGAAAAACAAAATCATTTTCAGATAATGACAGTCAAATTGAATGGGACCGATTGCAAACATGGTGAAATACTTAGCAGAAATGTTGCTTTGTGCACAATCTCACAGGTTGGTCCAGAATACCGGGTCTTCTCTTAACTCCTCTTCTATACAATGATTTGTCCATTTATTTTTTTTATTGCTGAAAAGCTCAATCTTAGTCTCATCTGTCCAAAGCGTTCAGCAAACTACAAGTTGACTGGTAGGATAAAAAGTGTTTTTATGGCATCGCTTTCTGCATGCAGAAAGAATCAAATGGTTATTATGGAGAACTATAATATGCAGGTGCATCTCTGCAAACTTCACTATTATTGGAAGATTAATTTATCTCAATTCACCAAGTGAAACACATTATATAGGTTAATTATACACGCAGTGATATTTCCAAGCCTTTTTTTGTTAATTGTGATTATCTTTTTCTTCAGCTAATTAAAATATGATACTCTATAACATCAGACTACTAAAAAGAAGCTTTTTAGCACTGAAATATGAGCTTGATACTTAATTTAATCTGACAAATGAACCTAATCAGAACACATAACCTAATTCATTAAGTGTGACTGTACTTTAAATCATTTTGGATACGCAATTTCTTCATAAAATGCTAATAAAACCAGTTTATTTCTCAATATTGATGCTTCTTTTACTTTGATGTATTATTTTCTTTCCATTCACCTCACAAGGGATGCCAATAAATCTGACTGTGTTTGGATTCATTTCACAAAGTCAGCTACGGCTTGAGTCAGGATGACTTAAGCACTTATATTCCAGTTTCACAAAAGGGAAGCGTGAAGGTCGCAATCAGCTCAGCGTCTATTTGCCTGCATGCCGAGTGTCACAGAGTGGCATCATGTTGTTCACATACACCTCATCAATGGGATGCCAGGCTGTCGCACGGCCCTTCCTTTTAAACAAATCTCTTTGAAGATGAATGCCAAACAGAGAGAGATTATGTGCCATTTTTAGCGCCGTTAGCGCGGCCAGAGGAAAAAAAACACAAACTCAGAGGAAAAAAAAAAAAAAGACCACAGGGACACAAAAGGTTTTTAGTTTGTATTTGATTTCAAATCAATCATTAAGTTACACAGAAATATTGTTGGTAAAAATCTACGTGGTTAAAGTTTTGCTTCTAATTTCAAATGAAAAAGTCAAATGATTGGACTTAAGACAAGTGGATTTTGATTACATGCAATAAACACTTTCTGGCTTCAAATCAACTGAGTGGCTACAGTCCAAATGAGCCGTTTACAGCTTTAAATGCCTAATTTCCAAACACTCAGCTCATTTTACCATCATCTGCATTCAGCTGAAAAGCTAGATGTAAATGTGAGCCGTTAAAAAGAGAAGATATGCTCATTTGATAACATTTTAGATGATGGTAAGGAAATAGCGAGTTTCTTGGAAAAAAAAATTGGTTTGCACATTTTCAGTGAGCAGAATGGTTTATAATTTATTCCATTCAAAATGTCAGTCATCAATTAAGTTAGATATAAACACACCCAAATTAACCAGTTAAAGCTCATTTTGCCTCATAAATAAACATTTCAAAAAGACAGCAATATCAAACATAGCAAATAAAGGCATAAAAACGTTATGCATTGTCCTTATGGAAAATGTTAATTATTTGTGTTTGAACAACACAAATAATTTCAAAAAGTAACATTAAAGTTTACAGTTGTGTGCATGCTTTTTAATTCACATTTCTACAAACTGCATGGGCGGGATCAATATGAACAAAAATACTTCAATTAAATAGCTGGTAAGAGAAAAAAAGTATAAAACATTTCCAATTTTCTGAAGGTGCATCTGACCTGAAATTCTCCCCAGATGTCTGCAACAACCCAGGCAGTCCACACACACACAAGGAAATTAAACTGCACCAATAAATGATGTGTAATTAAATGGAATGACATGGGGTGAAAAGTATTGAACACATGAAGAAACGGCGGTGCGAAAGGGAATGAATGGAAAGTCATGACACCAGTGGAAATCTATCAGCAATTAGAAAGCAACCCTGCCAATTAGTGCAAATTAATATCAGATGGGTCAGTCCCAGCGGATGGTCTATAAAAAGGTGCCTGATTACCAAGGTGTCACACAAGAAACATCTGATGAAGGGCACAAATCTGTGAACTCTCTAAAGGTGTTTTTTTTTTCTTCTCTTTTTTACTAAAACTCCTGACGTCGTTGGTGTCAGAAGATTTTCAGAGCTACTGAAGATTGTAGTGAGCACCGTTGTGTCCATAATTCAGAGATGGGCTGAACGTTATACAATAAACCTCATAAAAAGTGTCACCTTTGTATGTACCCGACTGTGTCTCACTAATATAACCAACTCATATTTCATTGAGCAACATAATCCTCCTTTAACTGGTGGTTTGCCAGTTCAAACTCTGCTTCATCCGTCTCAGTCGTTGTGTCCCTGGGCAGGAAACTTCACTTTCCTTTCTTGCTGGTGGTGGTCAGGCCGTAATTGATGAGCAGCTGACAGGAATGGTCACTTCATCCACCGTTTTTCTCATCCAGACACATCAATCGCTACGAAACCGGATAAAGCCGCCCCCAAGACCCAATGATCCTTTTCCATTACTCCTGAGTCCAGACTTTAGTAAATTAAACACCTTCTTTTCAATTAGTCTTACTCATGAAACTCCAAAGCCGTTTTGATGGAATACCTTCACCTTGTACATCTGGATACGCTCCTACTTTCACCAGTAAACAACATGAGCTCTGATAGAGAGCTCAACAAATGGTCAAGTGATTGCTTATTGGATCTTTTTCCTGTCCATATTTCTTCCTCAAACATGGTGGTTAACCCCTCTCCCACCAGGCCGAACAATTTCTTAATCAATGTTAGCGCTTTCTGCAGTCTCCTGATTAATTGCTGGATGGAGATCAATAAATTAACCCTTCCGTCTCTTTCATCATGGCTCATAAAAGAAATGGGAAGTTGCTCACTGTGCTGGTTGGGGCATTTCTTTTCTTTTGACAACTAAAATAAATTCCTGTGGTAAATATCCAGTGTGAAGCTCTTTTGGATTTGTAGAACCATGTTCATCTGGGAGCTTCTTTTGTCTCTTTTATCTGTCTGATAAGTATTATATTGAATGGTAATTGTGCTAATTTACTTGCCATAGATAATATCATGTAGACTGACAGTTTATTTGCTTCCTCAGGACCAGGATGATTTGTTGCAACTCATAGAGCCCTCAATTCTGCTCTGTAACAAACAATCCTGAAGAATGTGTGACCATTATTGTCTTGATCCTAAACTCAACCACACGTTGGTCATACAGTAGGAGAATAATCTCAAGTACACACAAGTAAGTCTCTCTCTTAATGGGCCCTTGATATCTATATATAAAAATAACACTAAAACAAAGCATGCTACGCCTTTGACGACCAAAAAGCTTTAAAGTCAGAAATAACAACAATCCATTGCTGCAGACACGTGTTCAAGACTTGATGTCAAATTTATTAAATCCACATAAAAACTGAGGGGTGTATTAACAAGATTGCTAATGGTTTCTTCTTCTGGTTTAATCGAGAATATTAATTTAGAGCTCATCCCACATGGATTACTGCAATTTGGGAGAGGAACAAATTAAGGCAGACTGTGCAAGCTCCTGGCAAAAATCACTGGTTCCTCACGCTTGGAGAATGTTCATTAGACTCAACTCATCTGGCTAGGTTAAATGTGCCTCCGAATGCTTATTAAATTCTTGCAATTAACATCAAATGTAGTTTTTTGACTAAGTAAATGAAAAAAATGCAACAATAAAACATTTAAAAAGCTGTTTTAGATTCTAGTCTGTTTACCTTTCCTGTTCGCTGCTGTTAACTTTTCAGCTGAAAAGATGACATTGAACAAAACAACTTTTATTTCCCAATTACACTGTGGTGTATGGGATAAATTGGATCAAAGCCACACACATGTCACGGATGCACAGACAAAAATTTAGTAATTATTCCTTATATTCATGTTTTAGCTTGCTAGTTAAAAAATATATAATGAAAATCCACAGGGACTTTGTTAGACTGCTGTGATTTCTTTTGGTGAGAAGTTGGAGCAGAAACAGGAAAGCAGGAATTACCTCAAGAGAAAACTGACTATGTATTTTGGACACGATTCACATTCAAGAAATAAAAAGAAAGACTGAACGTTATTTTCTGGGTGAATATGCATCACTCTGAAGCTGAAAGAGTGTTCAAACCTACTTTGCCCAAAAGACACATTAACCCAAAGATATGACCTGCAAGCAGCCAGAAAGATTTCCATTTCACTGGATGTGCACAGATTGGATTCATGAAAGTATTTCGTGACAATCCTGCAAAGCTGATCTGTCAATAAGAAGACTAGAGTTCAACCGATGACAAATGATGAGATTCATTTGTTTTATCCACACTTCAAACTATTTAAATCATTATCAAACAAGGAGCTATATTAATTTCACACTATTTTCTCAGAGTTAAGCACTTGCATGTGGCATTTTTATCAGAAAAAATCTCCCACATATTGCATCTTATTTGATTTCTGAAGAATAATACAGTCTCCAAAAGACATGATTCCACTATTTTAGCTCACATATTTTAAACTAATGGACAAAGAAACAGAAGAAAGTACCTTTTCGGTGTCTATGCCCCGTGACATGGACCAGGTAGAGGCGATATAGTCCATAACTCTTTCACTCAAGCCTTTGGGGACCTGATAGAGTTTAAGGAAGTCCCGGACACTGTTGAGCATCTCATGGTAGCGATTAGTGTTGGCATACATCTGCTGGAAGATGGTTGTCACGTTACCAAAGATGGTGGCGTAAAGAAGGGCTGTAGAAACACAGAGTATTTACATGACAGTATTTACTGAAAAATATTGTTCTACTCTTTTATTTTAAGTTTGTTTTGGTAATATATGTTTTAATTAACATATAACAACTTTATGAATGATACAATTTATTGACAATTTTTATTTTAAACTGATACTTGCTGGTTTATTTGTTAAAATAAATTCTCTACGTCTTTAACACGGTTAATTGTTGTCAAAACAAAAATCGAGTAAACGTATTGCTAAATATATAATAATCTTTATATAAAAAAGCTGAATTTATGAAAACATGTTTTTGTTATAACAATTGAAGGATGTGAAAGTCGGTTGTTTAAACTGTGACACACAGAAGTGAGAAAACCTGCAGCAGGGTTTCTGTTTTTATTGTTGGCTTTTATTTAATGAATTGTTCAGTTTATAAAAAAATCCCATTTTAAAGGTGAAAGAGGAAAGATAACTCCCTCTTAATGCCCAGAGACTCCAAAAAACTTTTCTTGTGTTTTTGAATCTCAAGCTTCAACACGACCTAGAAGAAAGTTACTCATACAAAGCCGAACATTCTCTGGGAGAAAAAATAAAACATAAAAAAACTTTTCCCGATCAATAAATACACTGCAGATGAAAGGGTTTTTATGCTTCTTCAAGATCGAGACCTTTTGCATTATGCTTCTTCAGGGGAAACTTTGGCAACAACAGCAGCATCAAACTGTCTTGGAGGGTTTCTTTATGTATCCTTAAGCAGAAACATTCGGTCTCGGATAGGCTGGATGAGGAGCATCAGCGCGTTACTATTTTTAGATTCCTCCAGTGATGCTCACTTTGACTTCAGACCTCTTCAGACTTTCTTTCCTCGTGACCCCACTTGGGTTTTATTTTAGCTATACTTCAAGTTATTGACTTGTCAAAAGCCAAACTTCCCCTCAGTGTGTGAGACTTTCAGTCAAAATTAGCCATCCACATTTGACTCCGTGCTGACATGTTTAGCTGCTCACGTCATTTATAAAACATGTAAAGCAGCCCCCTGAGGAAGAGTTTGATATCTTCACTTGTAAAGCCCATTCACATTCAGTGCAACATATTGGCTTTCAAGCCTGAAGCTTCAAACAAACCTCACATCTTTATTTTAAAATTTCCTTGCTTAACCAAATAAAAAGAATTAGCTTCTCATTTTTTACATATATTTCTTGTTTACTTCAAGGCTGAAGATGAAAAGTTTTAATAAAGCCAGAGCTATGAAGAGATTAAAATCCTGATCAGAGTCTCTTGTAATCTGTTCCATTAAACCTGAAGATTTTCTGTTTCTTGGTCTGTGAATAATTCAAGATCCTTTTGGCAAATTCCTATTAATGAGGAATGGCCTCAGTCTGGCCACTCGTCCATGAAGGTTTCATTGTTCTGCGCTGATGGCTACAGCTCTAAAAGACTCTGCCATTTTCAGTGCCTTGCAAAAAGTATTCACACCTCTTGAGCCTTTTCACATTTTGAATCACAAACTTCAAAGTATTTTATTGGGATTTTATGTGACAGACGCAAGACAGTGCATTATAATGTGAAGTGGAAATAAAACGATGCACGGTTTTCAAAATTCTTTGTTAAAAGAAAAAATCTGGAAAGTGCAGCTTGCATTTTGAAGAACCACCTCACTCTCCGATTACACCTGGAAGTGTTTTATGGTAACATCTGCACAAGCTTTGCATATATAGACACCACTTTTTAGCCCATTGTATATAAAACAGCTTAGGCTCAGTCAGATTGGATGGAAAACAACTGTAATCATCAGTTTTTATACTACTGATTCTATATAAGATTTACATCTGCCTATAAGCTTAGAGGATATTACTGTGCTGAAATGTCCTTTCACACCAGCCCCGTTTAGTTTGTTTTAATTGAACTCTAGTTTGCTTGAGTAGAAAGACTGATTTGTTGGAGGAAGTGTGAATGTTCAATCCGATCAAAAAAGCAAACTCTGGTCCTCCTAAGAACAGAGGATCACGATTTTGACGTGGTAGGAAGGCATATGTGAATGCTAAGCGGACTGGAGACAATTCCAAAAACAGGAAGCAAACCCAGGGCATCCTGGGTAAATAACAACCAAAACAAACTGTGTGTGTAGCACTAGTGGGGAAAAATGGCTCGTGGCCTTTTACCAAAAACAAAAGAGGAATCCTACAATCTGACGTCACTTCATTTTTGTTTACATTTTGCAAAGGAGGAAGTTGCTCTCTCATCTTCTTTGGAGGTTTCCATGTTAATTCCTCCAGTGGTTCTTGGTACAGCATGCACCTCCTGCTTCTCCAGTTCATGCTCTCCTGACAGAACGCGTCAGCTTAGACTGACAGGCATTGCTTAGTAGGTTTACAGATCCATATGATGGACTGACCAAAGTTCTGAGATGTACAAACGTTACATTAATGTTTAATCTAACTTTCTCTCTGACTTGTCTGCTGTGCTCCTTGTTCTTCTTTATGCTGTTTTTTTTTTACAAATATTCTCCAACAAAAGTTTGAGGTCTTCACAGAGCAGTCTCTTCCTTCCTAAGAAGGAAGAGACTTGCTCCACCTCACATTTATGCACTATTCTGTGTTCATCTAACACATAAAATCCTATTAAAATCCAGCAAAGTTTGTATTTGTAGCATGTCAAAATGTGAAAAAGTTTATAGGGGCATGAACACCTCATATTTATGTGCCTTATCAGGACCAAATATGCCTCCAGACCGAATATTATTTTATGCCGTGAACGCTTAAATTAATCCGTTGGGAAATTACAGAGCATTAATCATAACTGGGCCCAAATATAATCAAAGACCTTTTGCCAAAGGGGAAAACCTACTGTTTCAGCTTCAGTTCCAGATACTGTAAGCTGCTTCCAGGACGTTGCGTCCCACATCACAAGTCGACGCAAGAATCAAACTTGTTTCTTCCATCATCAAGGAAGGCGAAAGGAAAGAGTCAAGCAGCAGATCAGAGGTGGCAACAGCTGGCGCGTGTGGATCAAAGCTATCAGATGTCTGCTCTGTGTGAGCAGTGCTCTCTTGGCAATGCAGCCCTAATTAGCCCTGCTTGAAGGGACGGAGAGGGAAACATGCCAGCCAAACATTTCAATTATCATACGATGACGATGACAGTAGCCTACGCACGCACCAATGCACCTTTGTTTATTTCGCTCTCAATCAAAGAGGTGAAAAAAGCCGCACGGGGGAATAATGCTAATTAAAAACAGCTCATGACTCCTTTAATGGGGGGAACCATCACAATCTCTCAGCTGAAGAGACATGTTATCACAGGTTTTCAGACCTAAAACAGTTCTTTGCAGCTTTAACTCCATTTAGCGAGACTTCGGGGACGACTGCACGTCTTTTGGAGAGAAGGCAGGAAATGTTGTTACAAAAGAAACTTGATCTCTCGCTGCACACAGAGGAGCTTCATCTAGCTGGCAACATCCTCCTGTACTTCCTGCCGCACACAACTTCCCTGAATGCCATCAAACAGCTGGCTCATTTGAAGGTAGTTAAAGCATAGTTGATAGAAACTCCAGCCCCGGGGGCCACCAGTTGCTATGGAAACAGGACAAATGTACAGTACAACTCCCCCTCACCCCCCTCAACCCCCACTTACTGTTTCCCATGCCACCCTAAAATCCCTCCCCACGCTGTGATCCTCTGCTGCCAGCGCCGATCCGATGCCGCTGGTAAAAATAGCAAGAATCAGCGCATCCATATTTCATGGAGAACAGCCACGGAGTAGACTAGATTGCATCTACAACAGAATCCTCCCGAGGCGGTCTGGTTTTGAGAGATTTAAGGTGATTTGTCTCTCACAATGAAAATTTGAGACAAAGATGGGTCTGAAAATGAGGGGGTTTTTTTTACCGGGTTATTTCCCCTAAGGAGAGCGTTCATAAACCCTAACAGGCAAATCGGAGTGAAAGTAGAAGGAGGGGAACGGAGGGTGAAGGGACGGGGCGTGTGTGTGTGTGTGCAGTGTTGAGACTGTAGCTGACAAAAGTACAGCGGAGGTGAGGGGTGATTGCAGTGGGATCGGAGGGAGCGCAGTGCTAAATTGATCTGGCGGCGTCAGTTATTGCTGCGAGGTAGCTCTCTGTGTGCAGTAATGGCACCGTGCTGTACGCGGTTTTATGAGCTCCAAAAGGAGAGATCCTCGTTAATAACGGTGGAAAGAAAGAAGATTTCCAGCCCCTGTTAGCAGATATTAACTTCCAGTCCAGTAATTGCAGCATAAAAAGAACTCTGAACAACACTGGATGAGGAAAAAAAGCAAATGTACTTATTCACACCCTTTGAACTTTTTCACAATTTGCTGTAGTCGTTTCAACTAGATGTGTCCCAATAAAACTTTTAATTTCCGATGCGATACAGATATTGCAGCTTTGACAATTAGTCAATACTGATATTGGCCCAATACATTATAAGCACAAATTTTATTACTTACTTTGTAGAGTGGATTGTTAGAAAAGACTTGATCAAGTCACATAGAAATGCTGGGGCTGACACGGTTCGATACTTGTATTTTGGCCGATCCGATTTCTGATCTTAATATCGGATCGGGACACACCTAGTTTTCAGCATTTCCTCAAATCCTACTATAAATTCTCTATTGAATTAGAATGACCAGGCCATTCTAACCCTTTCAATTATAGCTAAAGACATACGTTTAGGGCTGCTGGATGGTGAATCTTCACCCAGTATTAAATGTTTTTCAGTCTCCAACAAGTACCCACATCCCTGCTGAAGAAAATAATCTCTACAGCCTGGTGCTGCCACCACCATGTTTTAATATGTAGATAATGTTTACACACCAACACAAGTTTCCTTGGATTTCCTCCTTCAATAAAAAGCTTTTCTGTTTTATTCACACATTAAAAACACCTAAAAAGTACATTTAAGAATTCATCAAAGCTCTCTCTGCATCATGTTAAATATTTGCTACACGCTAACAGAACATTAGCCCATATCGAGCTGCTCTGTTCGACTTCATGTCTACAAGAAGTTATGCAACTGCATATGATGTGATGAGGTTTCAAACCTGCTCAATTGTTTTATTAGTATTGACAGTGGAGTCAATGGAAGTCTTGTTTGGCAAGATATACCTCCGCTCAAAGCGTACGGATGAAGAGCAACACGACAACAAGATTAGTGCTATCCATCAGACTACTGCAGTGAGTGTATATTGATGTGCAGAAAAAAATCCTACGCCTTGAGCTTCTCTGAATTGTTGTCACTTTAAAACTTCAAACCTTTTTGAACAGGAATATAAAGTGATACATGTACCTAGTTTAAAAACGTTTTAAAGCCAAGTCATTTATTTATATTCATCATTTGTTCTCCTCAAACAAATATTTTAGTCTTTTGTTTGTGTCCATTATTCTTTCCAGAAGAGCTCATGCTCTGTCAGATTGGATGGAAAGCATCTGTGAACTTCAGTTTTCAAATCTGGTCACAGATTCTCTTTTGAATTCAGGTCCGGGTTTTGACTGGACCATTATAACACCTGAAAATGCTTTGATTTAAATTATTCCACTGTCTGTTATTGTCTGTGTGTTTAAGGCCACTGTACTCCTGAGAGCTTGACCTCTGGCCAGGTTTTCTCCCAAGATTGCCACTGCCATATTTCACTCAATCAGGATGTTGTAACCTTTATGCAACATTTCACACTTATTCCAAAACGTGTGTTTGGTTTGGGGTATCAAAGTTAAGGGGGGAGTGGATACAAATGAATGCCACACTTTTCAGAAAACTGAATTTGCCGTTTTTCCTTTTTTCACAATTATGAGCTGCTTTGTGTTCTCTATTACCCCATAAAGAACCCTGAAGTTTGTGGTTGCAGTGTGACAAAAGTTTAATGGGTGTAAATACTTTTACAAGGCACTGTAAACTAATGAATTTGCTCTAAAGTTTGCTATGTTAGCGTCTTACCATTTCGGGCCTACCATTTTCAGGAAGGATAACAGAAAGCATGTGCTAGAAAATCTAAATATTTTAACATGTTATCACACAGCAGACTGAGATAATGAGTGAAATGTCACTTTACTTTATGTCATTGTATTAAATCAGACTGAATGGAGCTGACAGCAGCGCTGATGAGATTGAAAAGGAAACTAAGGGGTGGAATTCATTAGAGTTTTCTCTGTATGATGTTAAATTTGTGCTTCCGTTGACATAAAAGCCGGGATTCAGTTATATATCTTCAAGAAGCTGTTACATAACTTCAGCTGCAATAGTTATCAGACTTCAAGTCGTTCATTTTATCAATAGCAGAGACAATCGAACGTTTGTTGGGGGAAGGGCATCCTCGTTTAAAGCTCAGGAAGAACAGGAGTCCAACAATATGACGGAGGTTTCTGCAGGCTTCACCAACTCAAATTTAAGACTATTTAAGACCACTATGAATGAAATTTAAGACCTGTATCATCACAGATATGCACAATAGAAAACTGTATATTTTACGTAGTAGTAGTGCTAAGCTCTTTTGCACATAACATTGTACGGGTTGGCAACAAAACTGAGCCAGTGGCGACGATGAATGTCGTCCATCCAACTGGCGATAAATTAACACTAGCCCATGATTGATGGAAAAAAGCTAGCTGGCTATAAAATTGTATTAGCAGCTAGTTAGCAGTAGCATCAACCACTTCAAGTCACAGAGCACAATGAATATGTCTGCGCGCAACTCAAACTTCTGCCTGACACAATAGCACAGCGACAAAAATAAACTGCATAGAATAAATCGTAAGACCTGAAATTTAAGACATTTAAAGCCTTAATTTTAGATACATAAAATTAAAACTTAAGACTTTTTAAGGATGTTTAGATATAGGTTGGTTATTCTGAGATTTTAATGATAGGTAGTTGTCACCATAAATTGTAAGATGTTCAAACTGAACAGCATAATGGACCGCACTGCTACTCATCTGTTAGCATTCTGTTTTCTAAACTTTGATGGCTCCATTCATAATTTACTTCATCACACGTCAACATTGTGGCTTTTAAAAGCATAACACATCTGCCTCGCTAGAAAGGACGCATTCCACTCACATCCGATCATCATCATGGCCACAGCGAAGATTTTCTCCCCGTCCGTCGTCGGAGCGATGTTGCCGAAGCCAATGCTGGTCAGACTGGTCATGGTGAAGTACAGGGAGGTGATGTAAACCGAGTCTTTGTTGGGCCCGCCCTCCCACTTCCCCGAACCGGTGGTGTTGAAGCGATAGGGCCTGCCCATCGCCTCAGCCAGGATGTAGAGCCAGCTGTCCATGCGGACAACGTTGGTTTCTTCATCAATCACCTCGTAGTCTCCAATGCTATACCTGAGGTTAAATAATGATACAGTTTTTTAATTATAGTGTTTCATAATGTTGTTTTTATGTTATAAGGCACAGCGGTGAAGAGCTCTAGTGGATAGAGGTTACGGGATCTACTTAGGTTCAAGTAAAAGTATCAATAAAGGCCGAAGAGAAAGTAAACATTATTCTTAAAGAAAAAAGTTATTTCCAACAGTGCATCTTACAACTCAAGTAAACACACTAAAAATTTCCAGATCATCTTGAGACTTTAAAGAATCAAATTTAAATTACTATGAAAATAAAAATCCCAATGACCCAGTTTTGTGTAGTCGGAATGAAGAGAGGGTAAAAATGCAACCGCCCCAGAAGGCCAAGGAAATAATGAAACCTTTATTTAAACAAAAACTAAGCTGACGTCCACACAGGACTCTTATGTAAATGTGCTAAAGGTTAGATGTCCTCACTGAAACACTTGTTTGTGAAGCTCCCAAAGCAACGCCTTCTGGAAAGGTCAAAGTGCCTCTTCTGCATCTTTATGTGCATATATGCAACTTTTTACTTAAAACATATCTAACAGCCACACTTTTAATCTAGATTTGGAATCTGTGACCCAATCACAACGAAGAAGCACAGACAAAGTGTAAAGCTAAAACAAATTAAACATCTGAGATTATTTTCTGTCTCTAAAGTCAAGTTAAACATGTGACAATGACAAAAGAAAAATTTAAAACAAAACCAAGACAAGGACATGATATAACATGATAAAGCTAAGATAAAGCGGTTTGGTAAGAATTAAGTGCTTTATGATACTGCTCTACAATTTGTAATGGATAAATGGCTTGTAAATATTTTACTTTAGATGCTTCTAATAAATTTAGCATCGACTTCTAGATTTTTCCTTTTTTTAAAAAACCTTTATTTTATTTTACCAGGATAAAAGCTATTAAGACAAAAAAAAAGAAACAACCTTTGGAGTCTTCACCTCCAAAGAGGAATGAGCAGTAATGCAACTCCATCTCAACTCTGAGTGTCAAGTTCAAGTCAAGTCTCAAGTTTCTTATAACTAAAAACTACATTTTATCATCATATACATGCCCTTCGTCCTGTACTGTCTGTCATTGGGCGTAACATTAAAGAGTTCTCTTTAAACATTTCTTCCAACAGTTTTATCTCATCTCAGGTCTTAGAGCTCAAGTTTACATACATTTTGAAGTTTTCGTTGGTGTAATAATGCATCTCTTCAAACTAAAAACTCTAATCTGCTTACAGCAGGTTAGCTTACCAACATCAGTTACCATGGTAACAAACTTATTTAAGAAGTGAACCAGCTTTGTGGAGCATGAGAATCCTGAACTAAACCACTAATCCTGCTTTGTAGTACAGATCCCTGGACGAGGGTAATTTATCACACTGCACACATGTGCCAGTCACCATCCTGCATTATTATAATTCACCTCTTGATGTCCTTCATATCCTGTCAGATCATTGGGAATCTTTTATTTGCTATTCTGTTAGGCCATTATTTTACAACATGGATGACATTTTTATTTAATTTTACTCAACATTTTGAGTAACTCTGTAGATGTCACCAGTCTGGATAATCGTTTTTGAAATAGACAAGATGATAAAAATATTCTCCTGAGATACAAAGTTGAGCATGCGAACATGTTTGTATTAAAGTACACAATCATATAAATGCGCAGTATGTAACTTTCACATAAAAAAAAAAATCATATGTATTTGCTAAAACTGTCATGTCGTGACAGTATGAGACAGATAATCTGTGAAAAGATCAATCTCTAGATGCAGTGTAACAGAGGGCCGGGGGGAAGGAGAGCCATAAGGAGTGGTGATTGACAGCGCTAAGATCCGCCTACTGGCTCTGATTGGTTGTTTCAAGTTAGCATGAGACTAGGCAGAGGCGCTTCATTTTTTTCTACATATTATTTGTCTCATACCATACGGTCACGGCACAGTCACAGTTTCAACGAATATGTAAAAACGTATTTTTTACAAAAGTTACACACTTTTATGCAATTAATAAATGTAATTAGATATGCATTCCACTGCAGGTTTGACTTCAATTCACTAAGCCTGGAAAACATTTCAAAATGTTTGATTTTTATAAAAACACTTTTAGCTTACAAAGACTCTGGTTTGTTCTTTACTCCTTTGCTTTTGTGCGCATACTAAAGAAAAGAAAAATGTGAATCCACACTGAAAAACATTTCACAAAACCCTTGTCATCCCCTGACTATCTGTAGGACTTGATTAGTCTTATCACAAAGTCTGAATTGTTTGAACTCAACAAAACTGTCTATTATACATTGTAGTTTGACAAAATGAAGCTACTTGTTTATCATGTAAAATGATCAGGAAGAAAAAAGCTTTTTGAAAGGAAGACGAATAGTGTGGAGAAAAAAAGAGTAATAACTTTGATACACAATTGAGAAAAAAAATGATAGAAAACCATTCCGATCACAAACTAATTGACATGATTAATAAATAACCACAAAAGAAAACTCCCTAAAAATAGAAATACACAAGAACACAATTAACACTGCACAGATTGACTACACAGAGATGAAAACCAAAAAAGACCTTAAGTTAGGATAAAAAGTACAAATAGTAAAAAAATACAATAAATGCCATAGAAAAAGAGATGAAGAAAAATTTGTGCCAAAAGAATAAAAAACAATGTTAAAACAGGAATCCCAAGCAAACGACAGCTGTTGCATTTTGAGACATTTTATTTGTAACTCGTAAGGGTTTATGTGGTTTTTATGAAAGAATTTTAGTGAGTAATTCACTGTAAGTGCTGACAGAATCCAGGGTGCATTGAAAAAACAATTCATCATCAGCAGCACCTGTCTGAGTTAGCTATTTGCATATGAAAATACCAGGCCCTCTTTTTTTTACTCTCCAGAATATAAATGAACAGAACTGGATGAGACAATGTTTACACGTTTCCTTTTTGCCCGATTTCCTTTATTCAACGCTTTAGAAAATATTTTTGGGCTTTTTATGCAACAATAAAACAAAAATCTCCAGTGTTCTTATTTGGGAGCAAGAATATGCTTTTGTTTTTCCAGCCCCAGAGTAAAACTAACACTTCAGCCACCTCTATTGTTTTCTGCGTAAGAGAAAATGACAGGCAGCGAGCAGGAAGCCAGCTCCTGCAGAGGCTGCTGTCATCCCGGTTGACGACGGTTAAACTTTTCTCGAGTCGCCGACGCGACTCCGCGTGTGTGACCATGGCAACCACTGAAACCACAGAGGAGCTATTTTTACTGGTATCGCTGTCTGGTTTTGGAGCACCATCAGGTACATTTATTCAGGTCTGATTATGCTGTCTGGACCGACAGTTGATGCAAACCGCGCCGCTCGGAGCCTCCGAGTGAAACTGACAGTGAATGAACATTTGTAACAAGTGTGTAATCGAAAGAAGAAGAAAAAAAAAGCACAAATAAAAGACATCTGCAGAAAAGATTAGTACATTATTCACAACAGCTTTTCTGTGTGGGAGGAGCAATAAATAGACAAAGTAATAAATCTGTGTATCAGTATGTTTGTAGATCTTCTCATTAGCACAATAAATCAAATACAACACATGATGGCAACTTAATGCCGCCATTACACTCTATAGCGCCCCTGCTGCGTCGATGATCTGATTAGATTTTGGAGACCCATCTCCATAAATCTGCATATTAATGAGTAAAATAATAACTCTCCTCAAAGTGTAATAACTCTTTAGCCTTTGAGATTCTGGTTTGATGAGTGAAAGCAAGCATGTTTACAAAAAATATATAATTAATGTGCAGATCAGCTTCACCACTGACCTCTTTTATATGAAATGGCTCTGCAATCAATGCGCTGCAATATTGCGGAGCGAAAAAGCGTTATGTAATGTTTTGTTGATGTGGGACAAACATGCAGACATACCAGATGCAGGCCAACCAGTGTGCCGCCAGTCCAAAAACACAGACCAGCAGCACCAGGACGGCCGCCCCGTATTCGATGTAGTGGTCCAGTTTGCGGGCGACCCGGCCCAAACGGAGGAGCCGGACAACCTTAAGAGAGCTGAACAGACTGCTGATCCCCTGGAAGAAAAGCCAAACAGGAAACATGTCAGATAAGAGCAATGGGAGATTCTCAGTAGAGTTTGTTTTTTTTCCAAATATGCAAAAGTTGTTGTTTTTTTCTTTTATTCATCTTTGTGCTCAAAAGTGTCAATAAAAAATATCTGTTTTTGTCAGGAAAATAAATCTCTCAATTATTATACATTTTGACTCAATTCTTTACTTTTTACATTGCTTTGTAACATTCTTTTTAGTTTCATTACTACAGCATAAACTTAAAAAATTCTACATTTTAAAAGCTGGATAAGGACTAAAGATTTTTCTTTTTTTGTTGTTTTTCACTTTCACTCTTGCTCATTTGCAGCAACCTATGTATTTTGACTTGGATTTGATTATGCTGCTGGTCAAAAACATTTCTCTATATTTTGAATACAAGGCAAAATGCGATCTGTAGTTTCTTCTCTTGCTTTCCTTTTTAACAGGATGACAGACCACTGGCGCATGTCAAAATAAAATTAAGCGGCCTACGTTATCCGATTCACAGATTTTTTTAACATCTGAATATTGAAGTAAAACCTACAGCAAATATGAACATAAAATATCATTTGAAAGCTTTTCAGAGTAGCCACTATATAAAAGCAAAACACTCCCTAAATGTTTTATTAGCATCAACAAGCGCATAATAAATAAAAAAAAAACAAAAAAAAAATAATCATTAAGATTTGATTGCAAAAGCTTTCTCCTACAACGTGATAAAACTTTACAACTCTAAGCAGCTCTAACCAAAGGCTAAATGTCTACTCAGCTTAGCTGCAACCTGAAACGCCCGCTCACTGATTCAAAGCGACAACTGCAATCCCATCAGTCTGCTCTGCAGTGCTGTTGGTATTCTTTATGTGTGTGTCTGTGCACTATCTGGGTATTGATTTAGCTAAAGTGCTGTGGTCTGCAATGCGAGTACAACTGCTGTGTTGGCTGTCACTTGATCTGTCAGAGATGCCAATCAGACACCTAAACTTCAGCTTGTATGAAATCACTTTTCAGCCTTTAGATCAGACACTTGTAATGTCCACTACTAAACATTGACTTTTTTATCCGAAAGCCTCATTGTAACTCGTTTGGTGGTACGTTTGGGGTCACCGTGCTTTTGGACCAAAACTTGTTATGCCTTAGCTATGACTTTCTAGTGGAGGTTTTGAGAGGTTTCTTCAATAATTTTGGAATAATGTTATGTCCTAATGGTGCAATCTACTTTGTGCAGCAGTCTCTCCTATAGCAAAAGAAAAAGTTACACAACACAATGCTGCTACAGCTATTCTTCACTGTTGATGGACGTTTCCCAAGTTTGCAAGTTTCCTCATTGTTCCTCCAAACGCAATGATGGCCTTTATGGGCAAACACTTTAATTTTAGTTTCATAGACCAGAGGACATGTCCCCAAAAGTTATGGTCTTTGTCTCCAAGTTCACTTACAAGATGCAATCTTGCTTTTTATGTTCCTATTGTAATAATAGCTTCTTTCTCCCTGAGTGGCCTTTTAGCCTAATACATGGATTGGTTTTAGTGTGGATAATTGCTCTCTCTCTTACCAGCTTCAATAAGCATCTTAAAAAGGCCTTTTGCTCGTTTCCTGAACGGTATGGTAGTTAGACATTCCCACACTGAGGCTATTCTTGCATATAATTCTGTGAACAGATAAAAGCAGAATTTTTAAACTTGAAGAAGTCCACAACTCTGTTTTAGAAAACTTGCCTGAATTGTTTGTTTTTTTTACATATATTCCCTTGGTATCAGTGTGTTTGAGCCGTTGCATTGAAGTACATCCAAAGTTGTGCCTCCATTTAACTCAGCTGTTGTCAATAAAACTATTAAGAGTGTTCCCTGTTTGTTTAAATGGACAGTAAGCTAAGTGTTTGTAAATTCAGAATTTTAAGATGACACTAAACATTGTTCAAAAATGCTTCTCATTATTTATTCTGCCTTTTAGCAAATACAAATTATTTCGATGACCTAAAGCAGGATAACATTTGTCTGATTTTAAGAACATACACGAGGGTGATTGATAGCGCCAAGCCCCTCCTCCTGGCTCTGACTGGTTTCTGACAGAGCAGTGCATTTCTGCAGATGGCAGTAGGACCACATGGAAGAGGAGCTTTATTTTCTCATAGATTATCTGTCTCATACTATACTGTCAGGATATAACAGCTTTAACAAATATGTTTAAAAAAATTATTTATAAAAGTTATATACTGCAGCTTAAGTGTCAGACAGTAACAAAAGAATGGCATGTGTCTATATAAACAGTGTATGGCAATCTGTTTTTTACAGATAGATCCAGATGCCTGCTTTTGATCCCCTCCTCATATTTTAATTAAAAAGAGCATGTTTACTCGAAGTTGATCAATCTTATGCAATGAGAATAAAAGTTACGCATTTGACACCTCTATCAACGTTTTACATAATACATCCCCTTTGTGTCAAATGTGAGGGCTAAATTATTAACTTCTCACTTTGTGGTGAAAAAATAGATTATTCATAGCACTCAGAAAAACCAGACGGAGCATTACAGCAGCTATGCACCACAAAGACCTTGGGGCCAATCCAATAAAGGAAAGAAGTTTCCACAAGTTTTTCATAATTTATTCACATCCTGTTCAGAATAATCTAATTAGTTGCTCCTCTGCAGCATCACCCGTTTGTAGGCGTTTTGTTTTTTTCTTTCTGAAACTTTGTCACTTTGTCATCTTCCAGGTCATCTTCTTTTGCTTGACTTGGAGGATGACAGCTCCGGCTAGCATAGGGCTAATTTATTTATTAAACCCAAATGCAGAGTTGGTACCGTTGGGACATAAGTTGCGCAGTTTCAAACGAACGCCGACCCAGTTTTTTGGGCTAACAAAGACAATAGAAAGAGCCTCATCATACGTCACAGCCTTTTTAAGACACACAATGACCCCCATGAGACATCTCTTTTACGTCCCTGAGCGAGGCCGGCGTCAAAATGAACAACACAGTAACAGCCAGGACCTCCGAGTTTATGACAAACCGACTGATTCAGAGGAAAGCAGATGGTTGTTGATGCCCTCCATCCTGGCAAGGCCACAGTCCCAAAGACTGAAATCAGGGAGAAGCTTGCCAAGATGTACAAGACCACCCCTATGTTGTATTTGTCTTTGGCTTCAGGCTTTGCTATGGTCTACGACTCTTTAGACTATGCCAAGGAGAACGAGCCCAAACACAAACTTGCCAGACATGGTCTGCATGAGAATAAGAAGACCTCAAGGAAACAGCGCAAGGAACGCAAGAACAGAATGAAGAAAGTGCAGGGCATCAAGAAGGCCAGTGTTGAAGCTGCTGGCAAAAAGTGAGCCCAGAGGGCCAGCGGGTGTCTTCTTCATGCTCAAGATGGCCTTGTATATTCTCATCAAATAAAGTTTGGGGAAAAAAGAGGAAAAAAAAGACCCCACGAGACTTCCTTGAGCCTCTTTCGTAGGCTGAATAAAAAAAAAAATTATAAGATGGTGAAATGTTGCTGTGTAATAATGTTAAAGTGAATGGGTTGTGGAATTGACTTTAGTTCACAGCAGAAAACGTGTTTCGTTACTTGGAATAGCATTAACATTATAGCTGCTAAGCAAGCTAGCATAGGGCTAATGCTAGCTGTGGGCAATTATTAAGCTTTTACCAAACACTTTAACTTAAAGTCACTATAGACAGACAACGTTTTATTCTTTATATTTATTTAAACTAACAAGTTTTTAAAGTGGGTGTATTATGGAAAACAAATACAACTTTTTTTGAGCCTTAAATGTTATTCCCTCATAAAAAATAAAAATAAACATACCTAGAGGGTTGCTTTGATTCTTTCAGGGTGCCTAAATGCTTGCTCCCTCAAGTATGTCCTTGGAGCTGCAGCTTCTTTCCCACAGAGCTCGTTTCCCCCACATCTCACCCACTCAGCTCGGCAGCAGCAATTAGCAAACACCTGGTGAATCTGCGCATCTGCTGAGCTCATTACAAAAACTACTTCTCTTGACAATTTTTGATTTCAGCTCATTTTTCAGTCATTTTTAAATATCTTTATTTCTTTTCAGAGGTTTCCATGTTTTTGCAAACAGGGTATTTATAAAAGATACAAAATCAATTTAAACAGTTTTTAAACTATAAAACTGATTTGCACTAAATTAAGGATTTTCATAAGCACAGTTTTTTTTAATTTACTTTGTCTATTTGAAATTATTTTTCAGTCTCCATCTTCTTTTTGTTGTTTTTGCTCAGTTTTCCACGTGTTTGTCTGGCACTCTGCTGCTGGTACACCAGAACTACGGCAGTAAAGGACAAAAAATAAACTTGATACTGCTCTACAAAAGAGTAATTGGATTTCATAATGAACAACAAATCATAGTAAATCTCATAAGTAAATAAGATACACTTTGATAAACCAACTGCTAAGTTCATGAAAAAATCTGCTTAGGATCAGCAGATTTTATTTTTTTTCTCTCTCTTATGGCATTTCCACCAACAAAGCGATGCCATCTCTTTTTCTGGTGCTATTCGCTTCACTTGTCATGAAGTGCAAACGTTAGAGTCTCAGTTTAAGTGTGTCTTTTTCAATTCATTAGGCCCCTCTGCGCCTTGTTTATCTTACGAGTTCTGTTTTATTTCAGCAGTCTCCCTGTGGATTTTATATCTGGATTTGCTCCTGCACTTTTCTGTCCCTGTGATTATATTTATTGTTTCCACCTGCGTCTCATCAGCCCCTGCTGAGATTCAAACTGCTTTGAACTTATGACTCGCTTATTTATCGTAGATTTTCTGGTATTTGGCCTTTTTCAGCCTTCAAACCCGCCGTACTTCTGAGGCACCTTTGCTGGAGAAAGTTTTATTTGTCTTTTATTTCCTATTGACGTTTGACTTCTCGCTACTTATCACGTCATATTAAATATAAATTACCTTATCAAACTATTGGTATGCCTTTAACTTTCCCACATTATGTCACTTTACAACCGCAACTTCAATTTA